GTTTCTCTTGTTTTTGCTTTATCTATTTGGTTTACTAACTTCTTTTCTTCTTTTTCAGGTTTGTGTTTTACCGAGAATGCGGAATGGCACTTGAAATGAAACCTCAGGTCTTAAGAGAACTTTGACTAATATAATTTTAAGTACCAGTTCTAGTTTTTTTTGGTTTTGCTTTATTCTTTTCTCTTTAGTTTTACTAACTCTTTTTTTTGGAGGATTGTGTTTTGCCAGAAACTGAAAAGGCACTTGAAATAAAGTGTCGGTCTTTAAGAGGGCTTTGACTAGTATAATATTAAGTACTAGTTCTAGTTTCTTTGGTTGCTTTATTCTTTTCTTTTCAGTTTTACTAACTTCTTTTTTTTTCTTTTTTGGGTTTGTGTTTTGTCGAAAATGTGTAATGGCTTTTGGAATGTTGTGCTTCACAGAATGTCACTTGAAAAAAAGTCTTAAGCCTTAAAGACTTTGACTAATATAATGTTAAGTACCAGTTCTAGTTTTTTTTAGTTTTGCTTTATTCTTTTCTCTTTAGTTTTACTAACTTCTTTTTGGGGGTTGTGCTTTGCCGGAAATGTAGAATAGCACTTGAAATAAAGTGTTGGGCCTTTAAGAGGACTTTGACTAGTATAATATTAAGTACTAGTTCTAGTTTCTTTGGTTGCTTTATTCTTTTCTTTACAGTTTTACTAACTTTGTTTTTTTCTTTTTTGAGTTTGTGCTTTGCCGGAAATATGTAATGGCTCTTGGAATAAAGTGTTGGGCCTTTAAAAGACTTTAACTAGTATAATGTTAAGTACTAGTTCTAGTTTCTTTTGGTATTGCTTTATTCTTTTTAGTTTTACTTTATTAGATACATGAGATAGAAACTTTAAGAGAAATCGGAGCTAGTTTTAATAATAAATACTAGTTCTAGTTTCTCTTGTTTTTGTTTGTTTTTTTTTCCCTTATTTTATTAACTTTTTTTTTTCTATGGTTGTGCTTTATTGGAAATATGAAATAGTGTTGAGAATGAATATTTAGTTTATGAAGACATGGATTAGCCTACAAAAATTAGAATTTTGCATATATTTGAATATTTTTTGTTGAAAAATGTGCTGTCCATTATTTATTTATTGTCGCTATTGATTTATTACTATTATTGTTTATTGCCGTCATCGATTTATTGCCATTGTCAAGTTATTGCCATTGTCGATTTATTGCCAATGTTAATTTATTGTCATTGTCGATTTATTGCTATTGTTGATTTATTGCTATTGTCAATTTCTTGCTACTGTTGATTTATTACTACCATCAATTTAATATCATTAGTAATTGGCGATGTTACAGTATTGAAAGATTTGTATACTTGTTTAATTTTCTAAACTATAAATATTAAGCAAATTGTGTATAGTTAATTTTTTTTTTTTATTAATTAATTGTATAATTTTATATATTACTAAAAATGAAATAATAGTAAATATTATTTAATTATGATGTAATAAAAAATAAAAATAAAAAAAATATATTATATAATAATCATTTATTAATTTTAAATTTATTTTATAATATAATATATATAGTTTCTATTAAAGTTTTAATTAAATATAATATTTATTGAATAGTTGTCTATTGATTAATAGTATTAATAGTTGTTTGAAGTAGATTATCTATATTATTATCTTCTATTTTATTATTTTTATTATTTTCATTATCTGATTTATTATCATCATTTATATCATTATTTTTTAAAAAATTAAAAATATTATTATCATCATTATTACTTTCTAATCCTTTTTTAAATAAATTAACTTGTTTAGTAATTCTTTTTTTATAATATTCTAAATAATAATAACATGCTGAATTATAACAATTATCATGATAAGAATGTCCACAATTATATACTTTCCCAGTATTAAATCTAATTGAAATATTACATTTATCACATTTATCTAATAAAGATAAATAAGATATATGATAACCTGCTAGCAAGCATTTAATTTCAAGAGTTTCATTTAATGTTGTTATAAAAAATTTAATATCATTTTTGTTTTTAATTATTTTACTTTTTCCAAGATTTTGAAAAATTTGTTGAAAATAGTCTAATAAAAATAAACTACTTTTTTTTATCAAATAATCTATTTGTTTTTGCTTATATGGATAAGCTTTTTCATTTCAAAAAGTATTAAATAATTGATTATTATGTATATCAAAATATAAGATTGTTCTATAATATGATTTGCAGTACAATTCTGATTAATATTTGCTTTTAATCTACTATGAAAATTTTCAACAAGATAATCATTAAAATTAACTAAAGATTTTGATATAATATCTGCTAAAGGATGATTAACTCGTTGCCAATAAAGATAATCTGATATAAATACTAAAGGTGCCTTATTATAATTTTTTCTTTTCCATCTTAATGCAAATATTCATAATCGAAATAAAGTATCAAAATATTGTTCAAAATGTCCAGATCGAAAAAGAGTTGCATATATATCTAATGTTGATGGTACTAAATTATCTAAAATATCAATTATTATTCTATATTCTATATCATTACAAAAATTACTAAACTTTAATAAAATATTTTGTGATATTTTTTGCCAACCTTTATGAATTAATTCAAGTAATAAATTAATTTTCCAAGATTTTGGTTTTTTTGCAAAAATTTTTTTTTTACCAAATATATAATGAAAAAATTTTTTAAAAAATAAATAATGAACAAGAATGACTTGTTTATGAAAATTTAAAGAAATATGTAAAGGTCCTATAATTGAAATAAAATTATTAATATTTTTAGGAACTAATATATTATTATATTCTGATGTATTAACCATTTTATAATAATGTGTTATAATTTTTCTAATAAAATATT